GAGAAAGGGAGGGTATGGAGGGGGAGGAGAGCATACCTTCCCCTCCTCCTCCTCAATAGCTGCGCTCTAATTCGGCATTATAGAGAACTGTAAACGTCTTTCATGTTTTGTAAACTATTGCTGGCATTGTGCTGAGGCTTGAGCCATAAGGACCTGGAGGTAGCCATGTCATCAAAGATTGGGATTCGGGTGATTCAGAAACCATGCGAACCACAGCACAAGTGGCCCAGGGCACCAGCACAACTGGCTGAATAAACAGCTCAGCCTTCAAAAAGATTGCAGTGCTGTTCTTGCAAGATGCTGCATTCAAAGAAATTTATTTGGCATTTAAATTCGGTAAAGCAGGCATGAGTAGACTGGGATTGCACCAGGACACACTGGACTGGGATTTTATGGCCATCTTTCAGGCACAATGCCGACGCTGCCCTTTCGTGTAATGGGATCGACATATAAGGCTTTCGCCTTGATCAAATTCCTAAACTTTGCCTAGTCCCAGACTGCCGCACTTTGCTGCCGTGGCCGAGCAATCACCCAGAACGAGCCGCAGACTTGATTATAAGTCGACCCCCCCCCCCCCCCACATTGCATATCAGCAAAAAAAAAATAATCTTTAGATGCGCATGTGGCGGCCTCCGCCATATATTTTATCTCAGACGTCAAGGCGCTCCGCCTCCGCCATATGTTAATCTCGGACGTCGAGGCACCCTAGCGCGCTCCATCTGGTTCTCCGGTGCGCATTCGAGTAAACACTTCGGCGCACCGACCGGGCTCAAGGGTCAGGTTTCTTCCCTCCGTGCGCAGTCGGCACAGTTGTCTTCAGACGGATAATAAAACCACAGAACCAATTTGTACAATCACGGAGTCGGACGTTTTTTCCTTCGCGTCCTCAAAATCTCGGAACACATCCCTACAAATTGGTGACCCCAGATGAGCGACTCCTTCATGGTTCCCGGCAATTTTCCAACCATTTCCGAAAGCAAACAGTCTGCTGCTGGGGACACCATTCCGACGGGATCTTTAGCGGCAATTCGAATCAAGCTGCCTCCATTTCGGACGAAGAACGCCAAGGTCTGGTTTGCGCAGGTTGAGGCGCAATTTCTGCTGCATCGCATCACCTCGCAAGCGACTAAATATCTTCACGTCGTCTCCTCGCTGCCAGCTGAAGTCGCCGATGAACTAGAGGACATCCTCGCGGCGGCGCCGACATCCAACCAGTATGACAACCTCAAGGCCGCTATCCTCGCCCGGAAGACCACGTCGGAGCGCAGCTGCCTCCAGCATCTCCTCAACATGAAGGAGCTTGGTAACCAGCGTCCCTCCCGGCTACTGCGCCGGATGCGACAACTTCTGCGCGACGCCACTTCGAATGCTGAAACATCGCTCCTCCGTGAGCTATTTCTGCAGCGCTTGCCCCACAACATGGTCGTCGTGCTCGCAGCAAGTGAGGACATGCCCCTGGAGCGCCTGGCTGATCTGGCGGATCGTGTTGCAGAATACTCCACACCCGCGGTTGTCGCCACGACCAGCTTTCAATCACGAGCATCGGATCCCGCAGCAGCCGCACCTTCCCAGGATATAGCGGCTCGACTCAGCCGCTTGGAAAAGACCATCCAAAACCTGCAACTGCCAGCCTTCAGCGGCCTACGGGGTGGCTCTTACAAGAAGTGCCGCCACCCCACGAGAGTCGGGCGCGCCGTGCGCTGTTCACCGCCGTACATTCGGGTTAATTTGTGAATCGCTATTATTAATGCTCGTTTGCACAAATAAAAAATAATTAATTTGTAAAATGAGTGCACAAAATAGCACAGTGCTAGGGGTACGCCGAGCTGCTCATGACATTGCGGTTGTTTCGTTTTTGCCGGCGGTGAAAGGCTTTGGTTCGATTACAAGTCGACCCCCCACTTCAGATTTTTAAAAATTGAAAAAATGGTCAACCTACATTCCTGTAAATACGGTAGTCATAACAGGTGCGCAATCTGTGTGTCATATGTTTGCATTTGTCCTCCTTAAAAGACATCAAAGGAAGCTGGAAATTCCTCAAAAGACTGAGACATCTATTGACATTTTTTTACAGTAAATCCAAACAGAAAACTTAATTGAACATTACATAGGCACCGAGACGGCCAGAAAAAATGACACAAAGGCAAAAGCGACACTAAAAGGTATCAACGTTTTAGTGTTTGTGCTGTTTTTGCCTGCAGTCTAAGAGTTAAGGTGATGCTCAATCTAAACCAGCTCGTTCGCGTCCTTACATTCACTTGATAAAACATATTTGTGTCAGAAATGTTGCTAAAACCGCAAAAGAAAGGAAGTTAAGAGAGATGTGATATCAACTCTGGCCTCTCTGTCGCTTGAAGACAACCCGTTCCATCAAAGAAGCTGTGAACGATGTAGTCTGCATTTTTAAAACCACTGTGTTCAGAGTACTCACAGTAGAATCTCTTTAGTACCACGCATCAGAATGCTTGATATTTGTAGTGTCTTCTGTAATTTTACTAAGCTTGGACTTCTCTTAACCGTAGGGAGGTCACAGAACTTGCTGCCAATAGGGAGAAGACCGAGGGGCGGCCTAGGTTATGTCACCCCTTATAAAGAGTGGGTACTATCCCGAGTATAACACACTTCATCTTCGAAACCCTTGCAGAGAGGAAGACATACACATGCATATAGGCAAACCCACCCAAAGCATGAACAGGATAATACTGCCATCTGAATGCCTTCTTCAGGCTCAAGGGTCTTGCAACTCTTTAAGAGCCCAAAATCCACTCTGTTAAGGAGATAGGCAGTAGCTTATATGTCAGTTTAAAGACCGCCGCATCTTCATTCCACGCTCGCTGCAACACGAGATACTTGCAATGGGAAGGAGCTGAGCTCCTTTCCATTGCATCCAGCGATCGGATGCCTTTTCTCCTTTCTCTCCTCACCCTTTTCTGTAAGTTCAGCTGGTTTCCACAATCTAGGTAAGACATGAGATACTGCAGCTGATACATGAAGGCAATCAGGGCATCGGACGCTGCAAGGCAAGAGCAAGGGACGCTGTTTGGTGGCCTACTCTAAACAGCGAAATGGAGCAACTTGTGACAGCCTGCGAGCGGTGCGCCCAAACAAGAGTACAGCGCTCCTAGCCCCTCATCAGCACACCGACTCCCAGTCGTCTGTGGCAGAGACTCGGTGCGGATCTGTCCGAGCTCAAGGGGAAAAACTAAGTGCTCGTCGTGAACTATTACTCCCGCTTCCCAGAGGTCATCAGCCTGACATTGACGACGTCAACGTCCGTCATCGCAGCAGTCAAGAGTACATTCGCCCGGTTTGGGATCCCCGACGTGCTGGTATCGGACAATGGGCCGCAGTTCTCTTCGAGACAATTCGCCGAGTTCGCCCAGAGCTACGGTTTCCAGCACGTCACGAGCAGCCCACGCTACCCACAGGCGAATGGGGAAGCGGAGCGTATGGTGCGGACAATAAAAGAGCTGTTCTACAAGTCAAGAGACCCGCACATGGCCCTCCTGGTGTATCGAGACACCCCTGGAATGACCGGTTAAAGCCTGTCCTCCCAACTGCTAATGGGCCGACGGTTGCAAAGGTAGCGAAGATGCTAGAGACGTTGCAGCCGGGGTGGCCATCCCGTCGGGACTTCAAAAGGAAAGACGGGGAGGCCCGAAGACGCCAGCGAAAGGACTTCAATCGCCGTCACGCCGCTCGCCAACTTCGCCCGCTGTCCGTAGGAGAGGACGTGTGGGTACAAGACGTGCAGTGCCGAGCAACAGTCCTCAGTCCAGCCAAGCGGCTGCACTCCTACGTAGTCGAGACCGGGACAGGAGTCCTGCAACGCAACCGCCGGCACCTGGTACCATTCGATGCGTCTCCGGCTAGCTTCGACGCTCCGGATCCCGGCGGTTCGACCAATGAGACTACGGCTCCAGCCAGTTCGGCGATCTCAACGGCAAGAGCAAGTCCGGGTGCAGGGAGCCAACAACAGCCGACCGCAGTTCAGCCTGCACCAACAACAGCGCCGACAAACTTGACAAACTCCCCTTCAACATTAACGTCGACGGACACGTCGATGGCAGACAATACGCCGATAAGAGTGACTTGGTCGGGCCGCCAAGTTAGGCGACCGGTACGTCTGGACTTGTAAAGCTTAGGAGGGGAAATGTAGTGATGACACGACAGTTCTCACTCGCGTGCCCCGCGGCAACGCGTCCATTCTAGTGCGCATGCTCGGGGTTATCTTTAGTTCGAGAAAGGTGAGAATAAAACACTTGGGTTCCAGACTCCGGTGTGGCTGGTCGCTCCTTCCCCGCGAGACACTACCTAATATGCTCCAGTGTAAAAGCTAGCCTGGAATAAAATAGTGATCAAATGATAGCAGTACCTCTCGGTGGCTTCCAAAGACTCACGACTTGGTCGTGTTATCCCTTCGAAAAATTCTCCGATGGAACGGCATTGCGTACCAAGAACCTCCTCTTGTGCACTGTTATAAAATGGGGGGAGGATATTTTTCGGTAGCCGGCACAACCACTCGGGAAAAAAAGATTGCCGGGAGTTTCAGACGGCAATGATTATTCTAAAAAAATATATATACATAAATCGTCAAATGTTTCACGAAAAAAAAAAAAAAAAAAAGGTTTGCCTACTCTGATTTGAACCTGGAACCCACGACACGTGAAACGGACACCCTTCCCATGCGCTAGTCCCGGGACTAGAAGTTCCCGTTTCGACTATTCCTTTTATATAAAACCCAATAGAAACAACTACCGGCAACTTTTTTTTTTTTTTTCGGTTTGTTGTGTTGATTGTCGGCAGAACATTTACTATGTACGGTTTGAACGGATGTCGATGCAAGCGTGATTTACGCACGTACATGCCTCGTCCATTAGCGTAGTTTGCTTGGAAGGCATCGCTTGAAAAGTGACGCCCACACACCGCGTCGTGCACAGTCAACTTCTTCCCTACTTATCCACTGCGATTTGAGCTTTTTTTCGACAGGAAGTCAATGAAAACTGATTCCAGGCTCTAAAGCATACGCTGAGCACTGCAGTATGCAACAAGAGCGTACTATATTCTAACAAACCTGCACGGAACGCGGCAACAACACGGCAGCCAACGACAGCACACTGGAACGCTGAAGTTGTTTTCCATGCAGGCGGTATTTGTTTCGGTGAATGCAGTGCCTCCTAGAATTTGATCTCCTCGCCAATAGACGTCGCTGGCAACGGAAGCAGGTCAGTGAAAATGCAGTGTTGGCTGCACCTCACGTTCCCGCTACAGTTAGCTGATATTGTTAGTTTTGCACCTGTACAACTTTTATGGCCAATTTAATAAGGATTTAGACGGAATTCAATCCCAATATTTAACTTGTAGCCTTTCTAGATTATACTGAATAGAATGACATTGTTTTCTCAGTAGCAAAAACTGAGTGGAGTTTCCCTTTAAAGGGGCGGTGCAATGATTTTAACACTGAACGAATATGCAGCTTGTATTTTTTACATTGTTTACTTCGGCATAAGTAAGAGAAAAAGTGCCACCATACCCCAAAATACCTCTATTTCGCTGCGTAATCGCAAAATAAAAAACCCTTTTTTTCCCAACCTGCGGCCACATGGTGGCCGCAAATGGAACCTGTGGTGTGACGTCATTCGGAGTGGTTTTTGTAAGTGATAGTGTTAGGCAATTGTAAGCCTGATTTAAGGTTAAGTTTAAAAAATCTTGTTGTTTAGGCATGCAGAAACGCTTCAAAAGCCTAATATTGTCGCTAAAAGGGTATGAATTATTTGTGGCGCCATCTACCGCAAGTCAACAACACCTGCCGTCGCCGTCATTCGTCGACGCCCGAGGCGCCTACGGCGGCTACACGAGCAACCCGGACGTTTTGTCTTTCCCTCGCTCGACGGAGTGCGTTGTTCGTGGTCCGTAGTATCGTGGTATCGTTATTGTTCCTGGTGTCTCGACCTCGACTTTGACTTCGACTTCCGCCGCGCCGCCATGTTGGTCGGGAATCGACGGGAGAGCGGCGAGCGGCGAGCCTGGCGAGCCGGCAAGCGCTGGGGAAACGGAAGCCAAAAGAACCCAACCGGAAACCAGCGCCACTCCGAATGACGTCACAGGCGAAGCTGGTGCCGCTTCAAAGTTGAAATGAGGGGTGCCGGAGATACCAATTTCTTTTATTTTTTTTAATAAAAACTAGGGCAAGCAGGAAAGAATACTTTCCGGTCCTTTGTTTTATATGTGGCCGGGATCAATTCCCGCAATTAATTAGCCAAAGTTCGGAAATTGTTGCACCGCCCCTTTAAGGACAACTTCACGAGGTGAGAACCACTTAACGCCACAGGAAACCACTTGAGGTTATTAAGATCCTTTTCTGCTGATTGTTATGTTCAATTTTGATTATCTATATACTACATGTTGATGTTATTATTTTTAGAAAACATAATAAGCCCCGATTTTAATGATAAACCAATGTGAAAAGGAAAAATCGAGCAGTAACTGCTAGCTTTAGAAGGTTAGAAGCTCATTGCCCTAACGAAAGTCATGTTTTTAAACTTTGCCGGTCGCGTTGATGGCATTGTCTGTGTTCCTGTTCTGCGAATGTCTCTTTCCAAGTATTTCCCTTTCGGTTGGATCCTCTCCTGGCATTTTAATGTCACGTGAGTTACCGAATCACGCAGTGAATGTGTTCTAAATGGGCCTCCTCAGGCAAGAAGCCAAAGGGGACTCACTTGGCGGTTCGAGATTCTGAAATTTTGCTTCAAGTTCGTTACCGATGGGTACAAACATTTTTTAAGTGTTCGCGCTATCCTCCGAATCAGGCAGGACACAATTGATTTTGTCGAACGTAGTGTATGTGACCAAGTTAATTTCTTGGGAGTATGTACGTGAGACGAGACTTGTAAAACGGTCAACGTAATGAATTGCTAGTTCACGCTTAATGATCTGGCAACTTCCACGCATCAAAAGTTTCACACCACTTTACTGGCAAAATCAAAAATATTGTGGCAAAGGATGTTAATCAGGAGCGAATCTGGGGTCTGCCAATTTGTGAAATTATAAAAGGAAAGTTGGCATCGAAATATAAACATATTTTAAGAAAAACATTTTTTTTTAATCTGCATTACTTTAAAATATGAATGTACCAAATTTAGCAAAGTGGCCAAGCAAGTGGACTGGGTAAATTGAACATACTTCTGAATTGCCTAGTCAGACAAATGCACCTCGAAAGAAATAAATGGGAAGGTACCTCTAAAAACAGTGTTGCTTGAACAACACAGTTTCTGGTATCCGCGCATGAATTGTCTCTTCAGGATACCTTGTGGGTATGGCAGCATCTCGCACCTGTCGTTCAACACGCGTCAAGCCGCCGATCGTCAAGCTCCGGGCATCATTTCTCTGCTTGGAACCTCAAACAGTAAGACGAACAGTAGTTCTCTAATTTAGAAGTCTAAGGTGTGTCTCACTTCGTCCATTCAGTGCATGCTGTTACTTTTTTGTCCCAGTACGACGGTTCCTCGGAAAATCAAAGAGAATACCACGAGGGCGACAAACGTGTGGAGGCAAGCTCCAAGGGCCAGACACCCAAGACATGGACCATCAGTAACCAGGGGGATAAGGTGAGAAAACTCAAGAGGCAGCTCATCATCTGGGCCACAAGAAGAAAATCGGAGATTGTATGCTGGGAAATTTGTCGACCTTCATTCTTGGGTGGCAGGAGCATTTTCTGGTCACATTTGTACATGAGGTGAACCGCTACTGGAACTAGGTCGACTCCCCCTGTACCCACCGAGCTCTGCATTACAGGGCGTTGCAAAAGTGCTATACTGCATTTCACCCTAACTTGCCCAACACAGAAAGCTATGGCACCAACGAGCCTATTGGAATGTTTGGCTGAGGGACGTGACAGCATATTGGCCGAGACGTGTTAGTGTCTATTATTATAGATACTTTGTTTATTGTGATTTGTTCCACCTCACATTATAAACAAACGTTAAAATTGACCTTAGTATTATAGAAGTTTTGGTTTGATCTTGGTTTTAACTCTGAAAACAGAGTTGAATATGTACACTATTACAATGAAACTATTGAGCATGCCAGAGCCCCAAATTTCATTTTCATTTCAGATTGTAACATGTTAAAAATAGGAAATAAAATGTATGTATGTATGTATGAAATTTCGAAAATGCCGCCATCTTGGCCATGGTTTGGGGAGGACGTTAGATTCAAATGCGCTATATTGGATTTAAAATGTCTCGCTTCAACTCCAAATTTTCAACCTGTCGGTTGGATTCTGGTTTGCCTACACCGTGTAGAGCTGAGTATCGACAAAGGCATCGCCGATTGCCACGTGCAGCAACTGCCGCAGAAATTTTTCGTCCATGCTCACTGTCTTCTGAAATCGCACACCTTGTATCCATAGCTCCTTCGAATGTATCATAGTAAACCGGTGCAGTATGAAGAGCCCAGTCCCACAGTCTACCATCGCTACACCTCATCGCCAGCAGCGAGCGGTGCTAGGATGCCCTGCAGTCACGCGCTGCATTCACCGGCGCGAACCAGTTACTTTGAGAGACCCCATGGACAGGACGCACCTACTCCTCGTCTGTGGGAGTGGGAAACAACCGGCAGCCCCTGATGTTTCTGCGGGCAGCTGAGCCAAGCCCCAACGTCTGCCCTACCCAGCTGGCCCAGTGTTTCCTTAGTGCTGAGATGGGATACTTTGCTGTGGTCAGCCACAGCTGTCGACTACCGCAGTCGTCTTTTTCGAGGCGACCAGCAACCTGCTTCGTTCCCAACTCGGGCCCGAGGCCAGTTCCAGGGTCGTCAATATGACAACCAGGCGTTCCGAAGAAATCCTCCTCCGGCGGCCGCTGCAGCTGGACAGGACCAATGCAGTGTGGAGGCCCACGGCCAGCAAGGTGCCCGGTCAAGCCACGTCCCAAGTAGCACAACACGCCGGGTTGGGGATGGGGCGGTATTGGCCTGCCGGGATACCGATACCGGCCAGTACCGGAAACGCCCCAAGGGGCGACATTGGCCGGGCCCAATGCCGGAATCCGGCCGGTACTGGGAACTTATTGGGAAACCGGGATGCCGGGAATACGGGATGTTCCCAGCGAGCTCCCGACACAGATCCCCGGCATGGAACCGGTGGTACGGTAGGAAACCATCAGTGTGCCAGCGTGTTTCCGGGTCAGAGCCAGTCCAATTGCGGATTAGTCCCAGCGTAAAAACAGATCAGTGCCAGCGTAATTGCAGGTCATTGCCTGCGAAATTGCGGATCAGCACCAGCGTATGCGTTATTCAGTGTACCCACTTGAACTTGGACTTGAACTGAAAAAAGCCGGTTTAGTATTTGTGCAATTTTAAGAAACAATTCTGTGTGAACAATTGACTTTCTCCATGTATACAGTATACTCATGGCAATTACTGTATACTCGTTGAGACGACATGTCCCATTCATCTGTCGCCCAGATGCATATTGTGGGTAGTACAAGAAGGGAACATACAAATTTTTTTTTACCGTGACATTCTTTATTGTGACTCGTGCATCCATAGCAGCTAGCTCCTCAGCCAGAGTGTCCCTCATCGTCAAGGGCGGTTGGAACCACCAGTGGAGTGCCCGTCTTTTTAACTCTATTGCCCTTGCCCGCCTCCCTGCCCGTCAGCCACTTCTGCACCGCGTCCACGCTGCACGAGTGCAACTTTGTATGGCACCTGTAAAGAGAATTGTCAGATCACACAGATTAGTTGAGGGATAGGGGAAGCCAATATCTTGCATATTAGCTACACACAAGGTGCTGTTCACACACTGCAGTTTGTGAGCGTTTACTTTGTGTAAATATAGGTCCCTCACTTAGCCTGCAATTCAAAGGTGACAGAAAGAGAGCACCACAGAGGTGGAGATTGTGCATTTGGCTACCACGCTAAGGTGCAGATTCTATGGAGGCATATGGCTATTTCACGCAACATCCTATTAATCTGAAATGGGGGGCGAGACGGGGCGGGGGCGAGAAGGGGTGGGGTGCAGAGATGAGTGGTTAAAAAAAGAGCAAAACTTCCCCAACTGACACTCTACAGACCGAGGCCTCTAAATGGTCGTCATTAGATTTTCAACCTGGAAACTAACAGGATAACAAGACAAGAGCAACAAAAACCTTTTTTCACAGTTCCTTCAAGACGCTGCTTTTCAGTATGAAGGTTCCGAGAATGGTAACACAGGAGATAATCATAATAAAAAATGCAAGTCAAATTTAAAAAAAAAAAAAAAAATAACGACAGGAATTGACGACTTAAATTTTGCATATTGCAAGACTTAACAAGAAACTGAAGCTGTTTTGTATTTGAGGAAGAACACCAAAATCGTCTTGATATGGCATCCAGGATCACGAATATCGAGTTCATTTTTTCAATCTGGTGCACGGAGGCTGCAGAAATTAATTTCTAAAGTACAGCTGAAGCCCCTCCTTCCTGGGGCGTGACGTCATGCTGGGAGTTTTCGGAATTTCTGCTCTCGCTCATCTTCAGCTCCTGTCAAACCTATGCACGTGAACTCTTGTATTTGTAAAAAGGTCAGAAATAGACGCCACAACTGGCATCAGTGTGGAAAAATACAACTGGCAAGCTTGCAATTGCACGCGCCGCCCACACGAGCGACACGTGCTTGGCGCCCCAAAGATCCTAGTACGACGTCACGACTGCTCTGAGGCTTTTCGTGTTTTCTCGCGTCTAGTTACACCTTCGGGGAAAACGAAAGTGATATTCAGATTCACAGGACAAAAATACGCCAGAAGTCACCTATAACTCGTTTTTTTGTCAAAAAGTGTTTCAGTTTCCCTTTAATTGTCAACCTATTTCAAAGATTGTGCTTGTCTATTGAGCTCCAATAGAGATACCATCAATTTAATAGCTAAAAAAGAATATGCATTACCGATGACCACCTTACACATCATGGCGTCCTTGAACCTTGACTTTCCTTGGTAGCCCAGAAGGGCCGGAGAACTGCTCCTGGACTTGCTTTGAGAACAGGCGTCCCACCATCTCTCGTACCACCTTCTGCAGCTTCTTGCTGTCTCCTAGAGACACGAGCTGCTCCTGCTAGAAAGACAAAATGTGTTCTCAATATGTCAATAAAGTTATTTATATGCAGATACAATGGTATGAACATGTCTCAAGTAAGAGAATGTGAATGCCCAGGTAAATGCAGCAAGCCACACTATACATGCATCAAAATGTTACAATATTTACTAGAGAGAGAATAAAAAATATTAGAATATATGGCATCTCTACCTGTCTTAGACGAAACCAGAAAGATTAAAATATTCCCCTCCATACTCCGCTAAATATCATCAGTCAGTCAAATTCGTTGCAACGTTCAAATTGTGCAAACGTTTTGATGGATCCTCTTTGCCCATCAGCATCCACTCAGTAATTTTAATAATGTATGTGGTTCTCAAAACAGTGCATTCAAGACCCTGCGCATCTTGACTTTGTTAAAGCTTAGTCTAGCTGCCGGCTAGTCACCCTACAAATTTATCACCTATTTTACGACTTTACGAAGACTGGAATTGAAAAAGGCATAAAAAGGCAGGAATTGACCAAAACCGTCATCATAGTTGCAAAAAATGGCAACAGCAGCACAGTATGAGTAGTTACCTTTCCATATTTTTGTTTAGTGCTGACTCAGTGGTGGCCCTGTAGGCCAATGAACTAACTTACTCAGCTCAAGCTCGCCTCGTGTAATAATCGCTTGCGCGACTACCGTATGCTATGCCTGGAGACACAGCTACACATGCACTCACACCCCCTGAATAAAGTGGCGGATGCAATGACAGTTACTCTTTCACCTTGGAAAATTTGATTTCCTCTCATAGGGTGACCTTCGGTTAGGACTGGCTAACATCTCATTTTGGAAATGCAATACTAATGTAAAGATGGAATTAATTAAGATTTATCTGGCAACCCCTTACAAATTTGTTTGGGCATACGCATATGGTGGGCACGCTCAAAAGCGATTTTAGACCAGGCTGAAAGTTATTTTCAAGCATGTACCTTTACTTCTGTAGCAGATGCCGAAAGCACAAATGAATTTATTGCCCTAAATATTTAGATCTCTTGATTATAGCCTCAAGTGAGAACAGGAACAAAACCAAAAGAAGCCCAATATATACTACAGCATATCGATCCTTCTGTCAAGCAAGCATTAAACACAAAAAGCACGCAGGCAGGTTTGTGTGTGCTCCGCACACATACTCACGGCGAGAGTTGTTGCAGGTGCGGAATTTAACTTCTAAGGATATAACGGGCAGAAGTGTCGTAGCAAATCAGCATGATTTATGATTATTTGCAGGCCGACATATTGTAAGCACCCAAAGGCATATATGTTGGGCGATTTTACTTCCCCCGTTGTGAAATGCTTTACTTAAAAATATTTCAAGAAGCGGCAGTTGAAAAAGACATAAAATGCCGTTCAATGAGGTTGCACATGAAGGCCTCTTGTCTACACGACCTTCGGGTGGAAAGAACTGTTAAAAAATGTAATGATGCACAAATATTTAATTTTTGGTGGCCACCGTCCATCATTTCTCCCTTCAGTAGCCTCTATGAAACGCAGTTTAACAATTGCAAAAAGTTTACGCAGGCTACTAAAGCTGACTTACAAAACGTGCAACAGGCGTTGCGTCACCTTGACACAATTCTATCGCACGGTTCAGTTTAAGGGTACCCCTTACAATAAATAGCCTTCCATTGTGCATTGGCTGTGCATGCACTCTGCTGTTATAAATAACAGAAGGCCCGTAATGAAGGTAGGGCAACTTACTCATTTTTGATTTGCCACCGACCGTGCTTAAAACATAGTTTGGGTGGGCATCCATTTGAAATGTTACGGTAAAAGGCTTCAGTCCACATTCCAATCCCATTTGCATAAATCTTCAGATAACCGAAGTTAAACCACAAAGTAAGAATCGTAGCCTTATGCCCGTCAATATTGTGAAAAAGAGGACACATAAATACCGGCAGTGTCCTGTTGGTGAAGTTCTTCAGCTGCGCTTCTGCAGCATAAGCTGTTCCATGTTGCGGAGAGGCATCGGGAACAGCTCGGGTGGTTCAGGCCTGGCCAGTTCCTGGGGCGTCGCCTGTTCCCCGGGCCTCGCCTGCTCTCCCTGGTGCTTGAAAGACACCACGTGCCCGAGCACCTGCCCAGCAGACTTGCAGTTCCCTGTTCTGCTGCTGTAGGTGCCCATTCTGGATGTGCAGGTCTATCACGGCCTAAGCAGCTGAGCGTCGAAGGCTGCAAGATAACCAAAGCATAAGAAAGCATTATCCATTTTGCTGATCAACATTATGCACTGATGATGCGAAGAAACTTTTTCAGAAACTTGGGTTTCGGGAAGTTTCAGAAGAACGCTTGAACCTACAGGTGTTTCGGATGGTTTGGGTAGCTTTGGAACGGTTGCCAGACACAGTGAGTGTTTCAAATTTTTGTAAAAATTTAAGAGAAATTATTTTTGTATGCAATATTTATAAATTTAATAAAAAAAATGTGTTAATCAAATAAACTTTCTGAAAAGGAGACACAGCCCCAATTTTCAGAACTTCACAGTTTTGGCTTGTACGGTCAAAATGAATGCTTCCACAAAGTTTTATGATGTTTTTTGACAATCAAAGGAAATAACAATACTGCGCTTGGCTGCGATAAGCACCAGTTTAAAAATCTGATATATAGGTCCGTGCCTATTAGGCCTAGCTTGGTGCCTGTACCCTTGTTGGAACTGCCATTTTCTGGGCTTTCAGGACGGCCTTTTTTTTAAACTATCAACCGTCTAAGAATGGGAGAGAATCCCGTTAAGAACACTTGCCCTGGTACAGAAAACGAAATTGGCTGCAAGTGGCTGCTCTGTGGTCACATGATACCTCGC